GGGGGGAGGGGGGGGGGGTGTTGTACCCTCTTTTTGGGAAAAATATAGCGTCCATTTTGGTAATAGTTTTAACATGGTCCCACTTACCTCCTGTTTTCACATGAGAGGTAACAGTATATAACAGATCTGGGCCGTTGATTTAATTAAGTAGCGGGTCTGAGTAACTTTTACCTTCTACCTCTCATGTGAAAAGAGAAGGTAAAAGGGACCATGCTAAATTTAGCCTTTGTCCAATGAGCACTCAGTACGTAAAATATGGGGAACCAATTAAAAACGAACTATTACATTTTTTAGCTTCTTAACAAATTGTTAAAGCACCGATTAAAATCAGGCCATTTTGCTTCTCCAACGCTTCAAAATAATGATGTTTTTTCTTTTGTAAAGTCTTTGATATAATTTTGATTGTTACTTCTTTGAATATATATACGTGAATTATTAAAATTTCCACCATGAAATATTTTTAAACATTGGTGAATATATATGCGTGAATTATTAAAATTTTCAACCATAATATACCACTCCTAGTGTTATGTGCATCAGATGCTAATAATTGATTGTGCACTTTGTAACATCTATTTTGGTCAAACAAGCATTGTATAGGCACCCGCAAAAACAAGCATTGTATAGGCACGACGTAGGTGATTCATCGATCAACCCTGGCTTCCTGAGTGAAGAAAGCTTCTCCCCGAGCTCAGCGAGAGCTGGCCTTGCGAATCGTCGAGGTTGTCTACGGGGAACTGATGATCGGAGGCGACGTCTTTCATGGCGAAGCCGCCCTCGGGCGTGTAGAAGACGAACTGAGACACCGGGGCCAAGGACAGCAGCGACGGGAACGGCAAGCCGTGGTGAGGCACCACATGAGGTGAAGAGCGATGGCCGCCCAGCTGCTCGTGGGCATTGTTGGCGGATGCGGATTTTTTGAGCGCCTGCACCCCGGCCGCGTTATCCTTGCCGTTGAGTTATGGCGCTGTACCTCGAGATACCTGTCACAGATTCCAGTTTTAGTGTATCCGTTAACGGTAGCACCTGTACCTCGAGATACCTGTCACAATTCCAGTTCCAGTTTTAGTGTATCCGTTAACATGGCGGAATCTTGTCTTACAGCGCCCCAGCATACAGACGCGCACCCGTGACTACCAATGGATGGAAATAACACAAATCTTTCCATGCATCTCTCTCATTCTCATGAGTTGGGCGCTCGTCCGCCATGAATAAAAGATGGAGCTAATGCAAGTGAAGAAAGAGAGGGAAGACCGAGCTAGCCAGCTCTAGTTGGAGCGCATGAATACTCTCTCTCTCTCTCTCTCACTCCCAACCTTCGCTCAATAGATGGAGAGAACACAAATCTTTGCATGCATCTCTCATTCTCATGAGTTGGGCGCTCGTCCGCCATGAATACAAGATGGAGCTCATGCAAACTGAGGGAAGAGAGAGAAGACAGAGCTAGCCAGCTCTGGCTGGAGCTCATGGATACTCTCTCTCTCTCTATCTCTCTACTTCTGCATGCATGCATGATGCATCTCTCTCTCTCATTTTCACTCCTTCAGTTCCTAACATGGGCAACCGAAAATTGGACAGGCCGTCTAGGCTCTTCTTCATTTTTAGAAAACAGAAGCAATGGAAATAGCAGGAGGCAATAAGTGCACGCAGTGACTCTCCATGTGTTCCAAGAAAATTGCCTGACCCGGTTGTCTTCTTGTACTGCATGCGGTGTGAACAGTTGTGGGTTGAACAGTACCATATACTCCAAACCTAGACTGATCACATGCATAGGCATGTACATCCCAACAAGGTTAGGACCAAAACGTGCCCGTGACTTTGTTTTGCCCCTGTGAATGACGCGGATCCCTGAGGACACAAACGGCTGAGATAACCGGACCGGGGTGCAGATGCTCTAATATATATTTTCGCATTATTGGCGCCATTGCTCCAAGCCTCATGAGGGCATCTCCAACCGCGCCCCCAGGAAGGCCTCCTCGGACGTTTTTTTTACGCCGGCGCCGAAAAATCGGCCCAGTCGTGCTTCCAGGAGCTCGATTTTCGCCGGCTTGGGCCGAAAACAGCGCCGGCGGACCCAGGCCGAACCCGACGCGCTGCGGGGGGAACTGTTTTGGCGCGAAACAGCCGCGGGCCCGCCGCGTCAGCGACTCTACCCTCTTCTCGGCTCTTCGTCGTCCTCATCGCCTCGTTTCTCGCGGCGAATCAATGCCAAAGCTGCCGCGCTAACGCGCCGGTCAGCCTGCGCCATTGATGCCTCACGGGCGGCGCAGTGAAGACCGGATGACGCGCGTCCCTCGCCCTCCCTTGCCCGTCACGCGTACTCACGGCGGCTCACGCCCGGGCGGCGCCTCGGCCTATATAAGACGCGCCCCAGAGCACTCGGCGACTCGTACTCTCTCGTCGTCGTCGTTCCTCCCTCGCCTCTCTCTCGCCGTCGTCGTTCCTCCCTCTCCTCTCTCTCGCCGTCTCCAGCACCCATGGCCGAGCGCTTCCCAGGCGATAGCGCGGCGGCGAACGGCTTCGACCGCCGCCATCTTCACGAGAGCGAGGCTCGCCTCCTTTTCGAGGCCAAGTACCCGGTCCCGCCGGACATGCGGGTACCCGGGGCGTGGAGGATCAGCGTCGGCGGCGTGCCGGTGCCCCCGATACCCACCGGCGCGGCGCGGCGTGCGGAGATCGCACGCATCCGCTCGTCCTTGCCGCGTGCGGTGAGGGAGGGGCCAGGGTACCTCCCCGACAGCCCGCTCTGGGAGCCCTACTTCCGCCGCCGTCACGCCGAGCAGCTCGAGGCCACCAACGGCGTTGAGCCCTCCGGCAGGCTCAGCACCGTCGGCCGGCGTCGGTGGTGGGGCGTGCCCGGGCGCACGTTGGAGGCCGTCCTCGAGTACATCGAGGGCGGCAACACGCCGTGCCTCGAGTACCCCTCTCCCCCGTCCTTCACACGCCGCCGGGGAAGCTTCTGGACCCCGAGGCGCATGGAGACCGGGGGGTCCTCCTCCTCGTCCGGCGGCTCCCCCTACCTCCACCTCCGCCCCGTCAAGCCGGAGCCCCAGGGCGCGCCTGTCAGCGCGCGCACCCGCAGCTCCGGTGTCCGCATCGGCGACAACGCCTCCCCCACCGGCCGCTGCGTCCTCGTCGAGCCCAAGCCGGAGCCCAAGCCAGAGCCCGGCCTCCCCGTGGAGTACGAGAAGATAGCCCGGCGTGGCATCTCCGACGAGGACGCCCTGCGGTGGGCGCGGGACGACTACCTCCGCGACGAGATGGTCCGGCAGCGCCGGACCCTGGAGGAGATCGCCGCCCGCAAGCGTGGGCGCGAGGACGAGCACGGCGTCGTGGTCCTCAACGACGACGACGACGACGCCCCCGGACCGTCCAACCCGCCGCGCCAACCGGGGGAGGGATGCAGCAGGGACGGCGGAGGCGTCGGCGGGGACGACGACGACGACGACGACGGCGGCGGCGGCGGTGACTACACGCGGTTCTACCGCCTCCTCGGCATGTAGAACCGCGTGGGCGGGCGGCGAGGCGGTCGGCGAGGGAGACGGCGGGGGTAGCCCGCGGTAGTTTTTCCTTTTTTTTAAAGCATGTTTAAATTTGAACGAACTCGTCGATGTTTGCGTTAAATTTGAGTCATGTTTGCGCCGTATTTGACTTTTTTAAAATTCCGTGGGGGGCCGCGACTAGGGGGCATCACGCCCCCAATGCGCGGTTTAGCGCCGGTGCGCCCTCAGGGGGCGATTTTTTGCCCCTCCTGAAGGGCCAACGGCTGAAGATGCCCTGAGCGGCGTAATGGTGGTGGTACGACCTGGCTTGGGCCGCAGCCAGCGTCGGCATGGCGGCTCCAGCATCGTTGACCAAGCCGAGCGAGTTGCTCAGGCTCATGAACCCCTTGAGATCGCCGCCCCCGTCGTGGGCGTGCGCCGCCTTGTCGCTGTCGACGACCATCATGGACGCCGCGGCTGCGGTGGCAGTGGCGTGCGAGAACGGCGGTGCCATGGCCATGGACGTCATGGAGGAGGTCGGCTGCAGGTGATGGTGGTGGTGGTGGGCGGAGAACAGGAGATCGTCGTCGTGCGGCGGGAATTGGAGTGGCGGAAGCTTGTCGATCTCGTGCTGAGCGGCGTTGAGGAGCCAGTCGACGACCTTGCTGGGCTGGCTGAGGCCGTGCGGTCCTGGAGGTCGTAGAGCTGGATGGCCGCGGGCACGGAGAGGCGCACCCGGCGGTCGCGCAGCCCCTTGACGGTCCTCACCTTCAGTGGCGGAGCTACAAAAGAAAAGTTGGGCGGGCCAGAGAATACAAATGTTTTATTTTTTTGTGAATACGCAAGCTGCGTATCTTTGCATTGATAGAAAAAGGGTTTATACCAGGAGATTACAACCACACGCAAGCCATGTACGCTAGAGGCATGTTCGCCGGCCAGGGAATACAAATGTTTCCAAATTATTAACCATATTTATTTATTTATTTATTTAAGCTATCAAAGTATAGTAAACAGCGCTACCAAATTGACAGTAAACGACAATTGAGTGCACTGTCAGACAGTAAACAACAACACTATTTTTGCTGTGAACTTGTAAACTGTAAGCTTGGCATCTGTTGTGAACTTGTAAAGTGTCAAGAACAGATCTTCAGTGGATTATTTATGTTTATTGGGGTCGAATTTAGGGGATTTAGGGGATGATTTAACGAACAATGACCTAAGTTGAATTTAGGGGAATAAAATTGAGAATCATTCAAATCGATTAGCTATGCTGCTTGCAGGGATACACATTAGTAGTGATTCTCATGGATTGAGAGAAGAAGCTAGCTAGTTGGGTGCTTGGGTCGCCGCCTACCGTTGCGTTGTCGCGTGGGTCGGCTGAATACACGTGTGCCGGTTGGCCGTCCGTCCGTGGGACACTGATGTGTGCGGTGCTCCGGTGGCCGGCGGCCGGCGTCGCGGCAGCCGGCGGCTTATGTGTGCTTCCTACTGCACTATGAGGCCGCAGTCGCGGTCGAACCCTGAGCCTGCATCGCTGTGAATCCTACGCGTACGACTCTGCTGCGTTTTTTGTACGGTGTCCGTCAGCGCTGTGAGCTGCAGTACTATATAATTAGCTTTTTGCTCCAGACTTGGGCGGGCCACGGCCCAATCGGCCTTGCCGAAGCTCCACCAGTGTTCACCTTGCTGTGCCGGTCCTTGCCCTCGAACACGCGGGACACGCGCACGATCCGCGACTCCGTGGACGACGACCAGTGCCGCGAGGCCGCCGCCGCCGCCTGCAGGGCCTTGTTGCCGGCCGCCGCCGGTTCGAACTTCCGGCGGTCGTCCCCATGGTCGCCGGCACTGGTCGCGTCTAAAACTCACTCCATCCTAAAACTCAGGTGATGTAATGCGGGTTTATTTGTGCTAAGGCCAGGGAGGTAATTGCAAAAAGTGCGGCGCTGACCGGATGGAGTGGGGGCAATGGGCTGTGCTGACTTGGCTTCAGTTGTCGTTGTTGTCTGATTGGCTAGGATCAAATTTACACATTGAATGCAAGTTGTAAGATGCAATAGTTTGTTTTTTCAAGTTTTGAACTAGATTATCACATTCAAGACAAGTTTCAGGACTCGTGATGCTATTACCTCACATTTAAATGTAGAGACAAAACTGCAAGGAGTCATGCCACGACAAATGGTACTGATGTGTACAGAGTGTGGACACGATCCTGCCTTGCCGTGAGAAATGTATCAACGTTGATTCATTCAGGCAACTAAAATAAGAGCAAACATGAAAACAAAAGGACAAGAGAATTTGGGTTACATCCAAATAAATGTCTACATCTTTGGACATGACATGTATACACGCTAGCTGTTCGCGCTCGCAAACAATTATTCAGTGGTCATTTGTATCATTTCCATGCAAGTTAGCAGCAGTCTCCTACAGTATCATCGTGTCCCATGTCTTCAGGTCAGCATGGATGCAATACAGCGACTGTCACTTGACGCTGAGCTAGAGCTCATCGTCATGAGCCGCGACCAAGTTCACCGGCGCAGCGACGTCGCGGCTGTGGGCCTTGTGGTCTCCCAAGGCCCGGTTGAGGAACATGGCCAGCCTCACTCCGCCCTGCGCGATCCGCCGCGTCACGATCGGGAGCCTCGACCCGAAGTAGTCCTCTGCAGTTCACGAAGCATCACGGTGAGGACTAATGGCATGGCAATGGCTTGATGAACAGGAAGCTAGGCGGAGCCCGGCCGGTGGCTTACCGGACAGTGTGTCTCCGTCGTGGACGCCGTCGTAGCCCCACTTGCACGCCAGGCCTATGCTCTCCGTGGCGTACTTGGTTGGGCAGGACATGAGGTCCGCGCAATCTTTCCACGACGACTCGTCGGACCACGAGCCCTGGAGGAAGAAGACAGACATTATGACATTATATATCTAGCTAGTCTGTAAGTTTCAGACATGTTCCTGGCCTTGGAGAGCACATTTGTGATTGAGACTGCCGGTTGATTTTGATTTTCAGCTTACCTTGGTGATGTTGTGCTGGAGGTCCTTGCGGAAGGCGGCCATGTCCTTGCCGTAGCGCTCGGCGAGCACCGTGAGTATTATCTCCCTGTCCCATACCTGAAGAGAGAAAGAGATCACAGATGCAATTTTCATGCAGATGAAGAGTTAAGCTCTGTTTTTGTGACATGCCATTGTGTGTAGTGTGTTACAGGTAAGGATCATGAGTGGGAGCTGGTTTATTTACATGATGGAGGTTGGATTTGTGCTTGAACCAGCGTAGGTTCACCGAGTTGCCCCCCATGTCGCTCGTGAACCCCACATGCATGGGCTGCACATACATACCATGGACAAAATTAAAAAAAATCATGTCAGAGACTGGTCTGTGCAGTGATCACAGGATTACTAGATATCAGAAGGAAGAAAATACCTGGTGAATATCTCCCATGAAGTGTGACAGGAATAGCAGGGCTTCCGTCAGGTTATCTGCATTTGCAACAGATGCAGTCAAGAACTCTGAACAGTGATTACTCATTCAGAAACGCTGGGTACAAGATATCAACACCCTCGCGTAGACGCTTACACTTGCGGTCGGCGCTGCCCTGCTTGTAGTGCATGAGCTGGGACGTGAAGTTGGCGACGGCGCCGGCGACGCACATGTCCTTGGCGCCGCTGGGGTCATGGCAGTCCCCTGCCGATCGGACACGACGATCATCTCAATTCACCAGATCCAAACAGAGTTTATCTACGCTGCTGCTCGCTCGCTGTTAGGAAAGAAACGTACTGGCGTAGTCGAAGGTGCAGGCCTTGTCGGGGGTGTCGATGAAGTGCAGCGGGCTGGTCCACCGGTACTTGTACCAGTGCCTCACCTGGTCCGGCCACACGCACATCGCCGACAGGTCGCCGCCCGCCTCCTCCGGCAGAAGGTTCTTCACCGCCTGCGCCGCCGCAGGCTCCAGCAGATCCTGCCACGCAACAGAATCAATCACCCATTTACAGTTTCAGTGACGCCAATGCAGGATGCCAAAAACAGAATGCCAAGTTGTTTTTACCTGTGCGATCTGGCATGTGAGCATGTGGCCCTCCGTGCTCCACGCCCGCGCCGCCGGCGCCGACGCGAGGACCAGCCCGAGCACCGCCGCTACCATGAACGCTCCTGAGGACGCCATTGACAATGTTCGTCTCGCTGCTCAGGGCACCTGTACTTGATGCCGGCCTGATGGATGGGAGGTTCAGAGGACGGGATGGCGATTTATATGCAGGGGAGCTGGATGGGGAAGGCGGCGAGGTTTCTTTGAGTGCACGCATGGCATTGGTGGTTCCTTGCTCGTGACCATGCTTCGCTTAGCTACATTAATCTAGTGGTTGTGGTTCAGTGGAAGCTCCCTTTTGCTTCCTGTTATCGTGGAAACTGACGAGGTTGCTGGTTTTGCATACGTTTCCGATGCTTGAAGCATCACCTTTTTTTTTTTTTTGAGGGAAGCTTGAAGCATCACCCTAAATGCCAGAACTGAGCCGGGCCTATGTGGAATGCGTTTGGGCCGGGCCTAGGTGGAATGCGTTGGGCCGGGCCTGGGAGACGAGAACTGCAGTGGTGAAGCGGCCGACGACCGTGGATAAACTTTCAGTTTGACATCCGAAGCGGGTGGGTTGCTGTCACCGGCGGCGATGTCGACGGCTGCAGCCACCGCCACCCTGACCTCCTCCCCCTTCGCGCGGCGGCCTCGCGCCCCGCGGGGCGGCAGGCGGACGGTGCGGCCGTGCGCGTTCCACCCGGAGGTGGCCCGCGCGGTGGAGTCGCTGCAGGCGGAGTTCCGGGAGGTGGACCGCGCCCTCGCCCTCAACTCCTCCCGCGTCTCCGCCGCATTCCGCGCCGCCCGCGTCGCTCCCCACGTAACCCGAGACCTCCGCCCCGCTCTTTCTGTACCCCCGCTGCCTCCTGCTCCTGCTCCCTGACGCGCGTGCGCCTGTGTGTGAACTGCAGCACTTTGGTGGTTCGACGGGGTACGGCCACGACGACGCCGGCGGCCGGGAGGCGCTCGACTCCGTCTTCGCCCACGTCGTCGGCGCCGAGGCCGCCATCGTGCGCCCCCAGGTTCCCCCGCTACTCCACATTCCATTGCGGCGCTTGACTGAGCTGAGCTCCTAGTGACGAACTGAACTCTTCTTCTTGCTCTTTGGTTTGCCAGTTCTTCTCCGGCACGCATGCCATCGCCTGCGCTCTGTTCGCGCTGCTGCGTCCCGGACACGAGGTAATCAATATGGACACGACTGAACCGAAACGCCAAATTTTGGCGTTGTTTCTGCTGGACTGTGAGAACTCATGACAGACAACTCCTACTGCAGCTCTTGGCGGTCGCCGGGCCTCCATATGACACCCTGGAGGAGGTCATTGGGATCAGAGGTTCGGCCAATGTAGGATCGCTTAAGGACTTTGGAGTTACATACCGAGAAGTTCCGGTGAGCCGATTATTCCCCTCCAGATATCTGCTACTCTGTGTTACATTCAAGTTACATTGTGCTACTCTGTGTTACTTTGCCTCTGCTGTTCTGGTGTGTTACATTGTGCTTTTGGATGGCTTGCTAATGTGGATTCAGTTGTAGCTCGCAGCAGATGGTGGCCTTGACTGGGATGCTCTTGCGTGTGCCGTCGGACCAGAGACCGGGTGCGCGCTCATACAGAGGTCCTGCGGTTACTCGTGGCGCAAGAGCCTGGGCGTAGCTGATATCCGTAGAGCCATTGATTTGATCAAGGCAAGATTATATCATGTGTATTTTGAGGGGAGCAGAGTATTCTCTATCTATACTTAACTCATGTATGTACTGTGTAGTACGTACTGAAATTCTTCATGTTTTGGGTTTCCCTTCAGATGCAAAATCCAAACTGCAAGGTCATGGTTGACAACTGCTACGGTGAATTTGTTGAGATATCAGAGCCTCCAATGGTGGTATGTTCACGATGTTCATCATCATATGAGTAACAGAGCAGTCTTACCTAATTGCGCATTTCATATCAGGGAGCAGATCTGATTGCCGGTAGCTTGATAAAGAACCCCGGTGGTACCATCACGCCTTGTGGTGGCTACGTTGCTGGGAAGAAAGATTTGGTTGCCGCAGCTGCAGCTCGCCTATCCGCACCGGGCCTTGGGGTGGAGTTTGGGTCCGCACCTGGACATGTTATGCGAGCAATGTTTCAGGGCTTGTTTCTTGCTCCGCAGATGGTTGGAGAGGCAGTAAAAGTAGGTTGCTTCCTAGTTCTTGAATTTTCTAGGAGATTATGCATATACTAATTGCAAGTAACAGTCTTATACTATCCACAGGGTGGTTTGCTAATTGCAGAAGTCATGTCAGCCAAGGGCTATAGAGTTCAACCACTTCCAAGGGCGCCACGCCATGATATTGTGCAGGTTGCTTTTAAGTTTAACTTTGATTAGTCTGAAAAGGCTTTAACATTAATTCACTAGCACATGAGTGTCCACACAAGCAAATATGACAGTATCCATGCATGATACAACATTACAACTTATTTTTGGATAAATCAGCATAGCTACTGTGATGTGTCACAAATTCAGAAAGCTGATGTAGTGAAAACAGATTGCAGAAAAATAAACATCAATTGAGTAGAGTAAGATAAGTGATGAATGATGGTACTCTTCCAATGTTTAAATTTCGCGGAGAACACATGGCTGGAGAATCCCTCAAATTCAAAGTTTGATCTTTACAGATGGTCAAGCAATCTCTTTAAATCATTAGACTCTGTGCCTGTCAGTGTTACCATGTCACGACATTTTTAAGACCAAGGAAACAACAATATTTTTTGTTATACTCGCAGGCAGTAGAGCTTGGCAACAGGGAGAGACTCATAGCATTCTGTGAAGTTGTCCAACAAACCTGCCCAGTAGGATCATTTATTAAGCCAACCGCTGGGGAAACTCCTGGTTATGCTTCAGAGGTGTGTTTGTATACCCTCCTCTATAAATATGTGCTTATTGTTTAAGCTATTTTTTGAACAATATATTTGACGGCAGTTTATTCCATGTATTTACTATTTTTCTCTAACTGATGCTATGTTATTGCTATCTGCGTAGTTTCCTTTTTGTACTTTGATACAACAGTGATTAGTTCACTTGAATCAGGTCATTTTTGCTGATGGGACATTCATGGATGGAAGCACAAGCGAGCTATCATGTGACGGGCCCTTAAGAGATCCATACGCTGTCTTCTGTCAGGTAAGCTGAGAATTGGCATCCTGATTACTTGTGCTAATGCACGACAGACTCTGGGTGGGGAGCCTGGGGCATCAAATACGCCTTCTCGTCCCTTGCACTGATGGTTCTTCTCCCTTGAAACGTATCGATGCAGGGAGGAACGCATTGGACACAATGGGCTCTTGTCCTGGGTGAAGTTCTCAAGGTCATATAGCTGTTGTTACCAGAACTATATCCCATTTCTGGAATGGAGGTCACGTAGCCATTTGTTATGTTACCAAAAGACTTCCATTTATAGAAGTATAATTGACTAGTGAGTACTTAATCATTGGGTAATCTTTTCTCATTGATGCTGCTAGATCTGACACGGTGCTGACTAACAAAAGGAATTCTTTACTTAATGCAGGAACCATCATGGCCACAAAATTCTTTTGGTTGAACCTATCGGTGATTTAAGGCAACAGGTTTCAAGGCTGTGAATAATTCAGCAGGCTGCATTGTGCATCAATAGATTGCCAGAGTAAGTTGAAGCCGGAGCATCATTGATTTTGGATAGCTTATGTGATCAACTCGGCAGTTGATTAGGATTCCACACCCTAAACTGTAGTGGGTTAGTTAGAAATGCTTTGCAAGTGGTGTGTGCCATGTACTACCATTTGTATGGGTTTGCCCATTCATTCAACAAGAGATAGATGACCGTCACAGCACTTCATTTTGGAGGTTTTATTTGCGTACAGCGGATCTGCATTGCTGAATTGTTAGGGCGATTCTTTTTTATGCTTTTATATTTCAAATTTTGTTGCTTGATAGTTCAGATCTTGATAGTGCAGAGCGTGAACATGGTGCCGTGTTTATATGGCAACTAGGCCTGAACATCTGCTCTATGAACAAATTTGTGATGTATCACCCTGTCATAGTGGATTGTTGCTCCTTCCCCATCATGCTCATAGTGGTAACCTCTTGCCCCGGACACCTTCACGTGGTGTTCTTGCACACAGTCACGATGGTGTAAATTTCCTGACGTGGGTGCCATTTTTACATTTTACAAGCACGTACTGTCTGACTTTTGACTATCGGGTGCCCTTAATTACCTGACCCACACTAATGTCCCGACCACCGCACGTCCCGTTTGCTCAAGTTATGCTACTACAGTAATTTGCTGCCGTATGAGGGTGCGTATCTCTACATTTCTTGCCATAACTTAAGCATGGAGTCACATAATTTACTCCGCGCTTCATTGGATGCTTCCTCTTGGATCTTTTACTGTTTTTATATTGTATATGTATTGGAGCTTTCCAAGGTTTGCAGACATAAAACGACCCACCAAGTCTTCTACTGACCGAAAGCCGGAGCACCCTGCTGAGCTCCATGGAGATGAAGATGGCCGTCAGCGCGGCCAACTGGCTCGTCGGCAAGGTGCTCAGCAAGCTGTCCGACGGGCTGGTGTCCACCTACATGGCCAGCTCCGAGCTCAGCAGCAATTTCCTGAACGCCAAGAACCAGCTGGTGTACACACAGGGGCTGCTGTCCGCATCCGTGGGCAGGGACGTGGGCGACGATCCTGGCCTGCGCGGACTTCTGGGGACGCTGAGCAAGAAGGCCGACGAAGCCGAGGACGTGCTTGATGAGCTCCACTACTTCATGATCCAGGTGAGTTGCTATGTAGAGATCGAGGTGCTGAAACAGTAATATAATCTGTGATGTAGAGATCTAGGCGCCGTTGTCTAAAATGCTTCATGATTCACCCACCCAGGACGAGATCGATGGCACCAAGGAGGCTGCTGCGGAGGTGGGCGGCGGCATCAAGGGCCATTCGGTCCATGGACGCCATGTTGCTCGCTACACCCTCGGCAACTACCTTCCGTACTTTTCATCTCCGCGCACTCTAGGTGACGAGCCTCCTGCATTTTCTGATGCTGCTGCCACCAGTGAGCTACATAGTGAACATATTAAGTTGCCATTTAACAGAGTAGCCATGTCCAAGAAAATCAAGTCTGTCATAGAGGAGATGAACTCCATATGCCTGCTTGTCTCTGACCTGCTCAAAGTCAAAACTGCAAACTACAGTAGCATTGCATTAAGCACACATGTCACCATTGAAAGGCCTCCAACTGGTTCCATAGTTCCACAAGATAGAAAACTGTATGGAAGGAATGACATTTTTGAGCAAACTGTAAATGCACTCACCGGTGGCACCTACCATGACAAAACCCTCTATGTTCTGCCTTTCGTTGGCCCTGGGGGCATCGGAAAGACGACCTTCACACAGCACCTGTATAATGATGAAAGAATCAAGGGGCACTTCCCTGTCAGGGTCTGGGTATATGTTTCAACTAATTTTGATGTGATTAGGCTCACCAGGGAGATACTTGGCTGCATACCTGGAACTAACACAAGCACAATTGAACCAACAAATTAGACCAACTTCAGACAGCCATTGCAGAGAGACTGGACTCCAGAAGGTTCTTAATTGTGTTGGATGATATGTGGACTTGCAAGAGTGTACGCGATTGGGAAAACCTATTGGCCCCATTCACAACAGTGGGAACCAAGGGCAGCATGATTCTTGTTACAACTCGATTGCCATCTGTAGCACAAATGGTCAAAACAACTGATCCAATAGAGTTGCATGGTTTAGAGCCTGATGACTTCTTTGCACTGTTTGAATCATGTATATTTGGTCATAACAAACCCAGGCTTTATGATGATGACTTGGTCAATGTTGCAAGAGATATTGCAAAGAAGCTAAAGGTTCGCCACTGGCAGCAAATACAGTTGGTCGACTGTTGAAGAAAAACATCTCTTGGGAATATTGGATGGGAATTCTTGAAAAGAATGAATGGCAAAGTGCAAAAAATGATGATGATATTTTGCCATCCCTAGAAATCAGCTATAATTACCTTCATTTCCATCTGCAGAAATGCTTTTTCTATTGTGCCCTCTTCCCAGAAGATTACAAGTTTTATGATTTAGAAAAAATCACTAATTTCTGGATTGCAATGGGCATTGTAGATTCAAGTTGCCGAAATGATAAGAATTACTTAGACGAACTAGTGGACAATGGTTTTCTCATAAAAAATAGTGATAGGAATGGTGAATACTATGTGATGCATGATTTATTGCATGAACTGTCTCGGAATGTTTCGTCACAAGAGTGTGTGAACATAAGTAGTTTAAGTTTCAGAGTCAACGACATACCACAATCTATTCGGCACTTATCAATCACCGTAGAAGATAAATATGATGAAAGTTTTGGTCGAGAAATATGTAAACTGAGGAGTGTAATAGACATTGGAAATTTGCGTACTTTGATGGTTTTTGGACCACATGATGCAGAAACAGGTGATATTCTGAGAGATGCATTTGAAGGAATAAAGAGTCTTCGAGTTCTATTTATACCTAGTCTCCCAGGCAGTTTGCCAAAAAGCTTTTCAAATCTTATCCACCTCCAATACCTTACAATCATGCCACCTAGTGATGCGCTCCTTTGCCTGTATCCACCTAGGACATTACCAAGATTTTACCACTTGAAATTCTTGGACCTATGGTTGGCTTGGTTGGGAATGTAATGTAATTTTGCCTAAAAACATTAGCCGCCTCATGAGTTTGCGCCATATTTATTCTTCCAAAGAATTCCATTCCGGTATTCCTGAGGTCGGAAAGATGAAATGGTTGCAGGAGCTAAGAGAATTTGATGTTAAGAAAAAAAGTGTTGGATTTGAATTGAGCCAGCTGGGGGAACTGACAGAGCTTGGGCAGCTTGGTATATGCAATCTTGAAACCGTGGCATCCAAAAAAGAAGCTAATGATGCTAAACTGAAGGATAAAAGAAATCTGAAAGAATTGGAATTAGTTTGGGGTCGAGGGGAACAGACTATAGATGGTGATGTTCTTGAGGGTCTTCAACCACCCCCTAATCTTAGCAAGCTTAGCATTATAAATTATGGTTTTGCTGCTGGTCCTTGCTGGTTGTGCAGTGACATTAGCATAAAAAGGTTGGAGTCCCTACATCTGGAGGGTATATCTTGGGACACTCTTCCATCTTTTGAGCAGTTACCACATCTCACCAACCTCAAACTGAAGAATATTGCTGGGATGCGTGTGTTTGGGCCTGGATTTTGTGGTCTTACAGAAAGAAGTTTTATGCACTTAAAGAGAATAGAGATCTGGAATATGCGAGAGCTTGAGGAATGGGTCGAGGGACCCAATGGCCCTTTGTTTTCAAGGCTTGAAAGCATCGTATGCCTCCATTGCCCCCTTATATCCTCGTTTTTCTTCTTGGAGTGTTGTACCAACCTTTGTCGACTCCGTATTGTTGATTGCCCAAAGTTGTCTCAATTACCCCCTCTGCCTCGTAGTTCTACACTAACAGACTGTTCTGTGAACAAAGAGTTTTCCAGAGGTTTGACGTATGATGGAAAGTATTTGTCTGCTAAAGACTATGAGGGCCCGTTGGCCTTCCAAAATATGGATAGAGTAGAGGCTATATATATTCGTGGGTCACCACACGTTTCATTGTCAGTGTCGGACCTCCAAAAGATGAAGTCCCTGAGAATACTAATTGCCACAGGTTGCGGCAGCATGTTCTCTGCAGAATGGTTCAATCCAGTCGTCCTTGAGGAATTGGCAGTCCATGACAAATCTTTGGACGAAGAAAATATCTCTGTAGCAGCAGGTCTGATCCCAGAGGTGGCAATGAGCAACTCACTGCATCCAGGTTCATTCCAACTGGAAGAAATGGTGGTGGAGAGCATCTCAGCGGTGCTTATTGCTCCCATTTGCAGACGCCTTGCCGCTATCCTTCACAAATTAGAGTTCTGTGATGATCAGGTGACTGAAACTTTCACGGAAGAGCAAGAGCAAGCACTTAATCTTCTCACCTCCCTCCAAAGTCTAGATTTTACAAGCTGCAAACTGCGGTCTCTCCCTCGGCTATATGGCCTTTCTTCTCTCACGGAACTTTCGATCTTCAAATGTGATGGAATCCAGTCACTGCCGTCCAAGGAGGACCTCCCCGCTTCACTGCTGTTACTAGGCGTAAGTGGCTGCAGTCGTGAGATAAAAGAGCAAGCCCAGAAACTTAAAGAAGCAAACCCTTGTTTATTTGTTCGTCAGGTACGTAACACTCATTTTTTGAATCTAGCAAATTGTTGGAAAGGCAGTAAAAATAGTCTGCTTATCAGTTCTTGGCTCTCCTAAGAAATTATGCATCCAATTGCAAGTGACAGTCTTATACTTTCCACAGAGATATTTTTGAGTTCAACCACTTCCGAGGGTTCCACAGGGAATATTGTGCAGGTTGCCTTCAGTCTAATATTAAATTGTCCCAAAGTCTTTCTTTTTTTGCTATGTTTTGTTATCTGCATACTTTCCTTTTTTGCTTTGATATAAGACTGATTAGTCCGTTCACTTGAATCAGATCATTTTTGCTGACGGGGCATTCATGGATGGAAGCACAAGTGTGCTATTCCTCTGCCAGGTCGGTTACTTGTACTAAAATGTACAGCAGAGCAGGTGGAGAAACTAAAAAATCAAACCCTTGTTTATCTGTTGAGGTAAGTAGCATTCACTTTTTGACACCTAGCTAGTTTCTGAAATCTCATGATTTACTCGTGTCATTGCAGAAGTAGGCAATCGTAGCAGTACGCTATCCAAGGCGTTGTACAACGAAATGCATATGGAGTCACACATGTATTTCAAGTCGATATCTGCAGGTGAGGGCATGCAAAATATAGTCCATTCCCATGCTTCTACGTTTGCCCATGTATCTACTAGTACACGGCTCCTATTTTCATAGTCGCAACTGTTAATTCATATATACAGTATTGTTAGCTTTGTTCTTCCTCGTATTTGAGAGCACCCTGTTTATGAAATGGCCCATTCCAGTTTGCATATGTAGCAGCTGCATGATTTCACCTTTGTAAACCCCGTCAAGTAAAAAGTTTGCTGTCAGGAATACTAACACTATATTCGACCATCTTATTTTCAGAACTATATAACAGGCAGCCAGGTTGAATACGGGACAGCAGGTGCAACTTACTCTGTTCTGTGCAAGTTGTGCCTCATCTTGGATGACCGTCTGACATCCGGAGGTAGACAAGCCGGTGAGTCGATTTCTCCCCCTCCCAGCCACCCACTACTCTGTGTTCCATGGTGCTTTAGATGGGTTGCTGATGTGGGTTCAGTTGTAGCTCGCAGCAGATGGTGGCCTCGACTGGGATGCGCATGCCATCGGACCAGAGACTGGATGTGCGCTCATACAGAGGTCGTGCAGTTACTGTAGAGCCATCGAGTTGATCAAGGCAAGATTATATTCTGAATTTTGGAGCAAGTATATTGCATACCTAGTAAACTCACGTGTTTGCTGACATTGTTCATGGTTTGGATCTCCTCTTAGATGCAAAATCCAAACTACAAGGTCATGGTTGACAACCGCTATGGTGAATTCGTTGAGACATCAGAGCCTTCAATGGTGGTGTGTTCATGATGGTCATCATCATATATTCATAGGAATGACAGAGAGGATTTTACCTAATCAGGAATTTGCATGGCAGGGAGAGGATCTGATTGCGAGTAGCTTGATGAAGAACCCCGGTGGTACCATTGTGCCTTGTGGTGGTTATGTTGCTAGGAAGAAAGATTTGGTTACCGCAGCTGCAGCTTGCCTATCAGCTGCACCTGGCGTTGGGGTGGAGTTTAGGTCAGCACCTGGCCATGTTATGCGACCTGTTTCAAGGCTTGTTTCTTTCTCCGCAAGTTGTTGGAGAGGCAGTAAAAGCAGGTTTCTTATCAGCTCTTGCCGTTTCTAGTAAAGGTCATGCCAGCCAAGGGCTATTCGAATTCAACTACTTCTGAGGGTTCCACGCCATGAAATTGTGCAGGTTTCCTTAACTTTAACATTAAATTGTCCTAAATACTTATTTTTGGCGATGTTTTGTTATCTGCATAGTTTCCCTTTTTGCTTTGATGCAAGAGTAATTAGTCCGTTCACTTGAATCAGGCCATTTTCGCTATCGGGGAGTGCAAGGGAGGATGGAAGCACAAGTGGGCTATCATGTGACGGGGCCCTTAAGAGATCCGTATGATGTCTACTGTCAGGTCAGTTACTTGTACTAAAATGCAGAACAGGCTTTGATGGGCAACAGATTTAAGGTTGAGAACCTGGGGCATCAAATACGCCCTCTCCTCCCTTGCACTAATGGCTCTTCCCTTGAAACATATCGATGCAGGAAGGAACGCAATGGACACAGTGGGCTCTTGTCCTGGGTAAAGTTCTGAATGTCACGGTTTGTTACCAGAAGACTTCCCGTTTCTTGAATAGGTAGGTTCTTCGTTAACTATGACTGATTGGTGTGTGTGTGTGTGTGTGTGTGTGTGTGTTGATTGATGGGAATCATCAGGTAATCTTCATAATTTTCTTGTTACTGATGCTCTGATGCTGTCAGATCTGACACGGTGCTAGCTAGCTAAATAACTGACACAAGGATTTCCTTGATCCAGGAACCATCATGCTCACAAAATCTTTTGGTTGAATCGACGAGTGATCTAAAAGCAGCAGATGTGTTTCAAGTTTGTGAAGAGTTCAGCAGGCTTGCACTGATTGATTAGCAGGGCAACTTCAAGGCAGAGCATTGTCCATATATACTGGATACCAGTTTGAACTGAATGGATTAGTTAGAAATGCTTCCAAACCGATGTACCTGTTGTATGAGTTTGCCAATTCAAGAAGAGATAGATGACTGTCACAGAACAGCACTTTATTTTGGGGGTTCTTTTGTGTAGAATGAATGCATGTTGCTGAAGTGTTAGGGCGATTTTTTTATGATGTTATATTTCAATTTTGTCACTTAATTGCCCAAATCAGTTTGCAGAGTCTGCTCATACACATTTTTCACAGAAAAAAAAATGTTCTACTCCCTCCGTCCCACAATATAAGAACGTTTTTGACACTATGGGACGGAGGGAGTACTTTTTATGAAGATTATTGTACCTGCCTACCTGGTTTAACTTCATGGAGTACTTGATTTTCCTGGTCAAAGATAAGTAGTACCTCTGTCTATTCTTGTCACTATATATGATTAGTTTCGCCGCCCGCCTCCTCCGGCACAAGCTTCTTCACCGCCGCAGGCTCCAGCAGACCCTACAGAATCAATCGCCCATTTTACAGTTTAGTGGTGCCAATGCACAGGATGCCAAAGGTGTTACGATAATCTGAATGCCAAGTTGTTTGTTTCACCTGTGCGATGTGTCCCTCGGTGCTCCACGCCCGCGATCTGACCCAGGATAAGCTTTCAGTTTCACATCCCAAGCTGTCGCCGGCCGCCGGCGATGTCGACGGCCGCAGCCACCGCCACCCTGACCTCCTCCCCCTTCGTCGCGCGGCGGCCTCGCGCCCCGCGGGGCGGCAGGCGGGCGGTGCGGCCGTGCGGTGGAGTCGCTGCAGGCGGAGTTCCGGGAGGTGGACCGCGCCCTCGCCCTCAACTTCTCCCGCGTCTCCGCCGCCTTCCGCGCCGCCCGCGTCGCCCCGCACGTAACCCCTCGTATCCCCGTCCCCTGCTGCTCATAGTTACCTGCAAACTGCAGCACTTTGGCGGGTCGACGGGGTACGGCCACGACGACGCCGGCGGCCGGGAGGCGCTCGACTCCGTCTTCGCCCACGTCGTCGGCGCCGAGGCCGCCATCGTGCGCCCCCAGGTTTTCCCATCCATCCCACACTCCACTGTCGCTACTGTGATGTGTCACAAATTCAGAAAGCTGATGTAGTGAAAACAGATTGCAGAAAAATAAACATCAATGGAGTAGAGTAAGATAAGTGATGAATGATGGTACTCTTCCAATAAATTTCGCGGAGAACACATGGCTGGAGAATCCCTCAAATTCAAAGTTTGATCTTTACAGATGGTCACATCACTTCATTTTGAAGGATGCTTTGTGTACCAAAGGATACACTTCGCTTATGTTTATATATATACTTCCTTCGCCTAAAAGAGAATTTAATTTAGCGGCTCTTTCTAAAAGGCGTGAATACAAATACTTGAAATTTTGTCACTCAATAGTTGGGATAAGTTTTGTACGCCATCCTCCTCTGGTCGATTGCTCCCTCCTAGCTAGGGTTCCTCCTAAGCTCAAGTAGCAAACGTCATCGTGCTTACCTCTTGCCGCCGCATCAGCCTCGTCCCTGACACCTTCACGTGTTGTTCTTGCACAGTCACCATAGATAGAGGTGTCCATTTCCTGACATGGGTGCCATTTTTACATTTTACAAGTACGTACTGTGTGTCTTTTGATTATCAGGTTCTCTTAATTACGTGACATGCTCAAGTTATGTTACTGTTAGTCATTTTCTGTTTACTAAATCGCCTACTATACTACTAATTTGCTGCCGTATGAGGGTGCGTATTTCTACATTTCCTGCCATAACTTAAGCATGGAGCGTGTGTGTGTACGCAATGAAGCAAGATTGGTTGCAGCATGGAGTCGTTGGGTTCAGAGCGAAGCGCGTTGGCTCACATAATTTACTCCGCTTCATTGGATGCTTCCTCCTGGAGCAGGTGCACCGGTGCGTCCTTAACCGTTTTATATTGTATGTATTGGAGCTTTGCAAGGTCGAGATAATGAATCTTGCAGACATAAAACGACCCACCAAGTCTTCTTTGCAAACACTACCACCACCACCAGCTCCCATTAACCCAAAGAGATTTCAGTCAACGGAGCAGCACCCCGCTGAGCGACTGCCATGGAGATGAAGATGGCTGTTGGCGTGGCCAACTGGCTCGTCGGTAAGGTGCTCACCAAGCTGTCCGACGGGCTGGTATCTACCTACATGGCCAGCTCCGAGCTCGGCAGCAACTTCCTGACCGCCAAGAACCAGCTGATGTACACACAGGCGCTGTTGTCCGCATCCGTGGGCAGGGACGTGGGCGACGATCCTGGCCTGCGCGGACTTCTGGGGACGCTGAGCAACAAGGCCGACGAGGCCGAGGACGTGCTCGATGAGCTCCACTACTTCATGATCCAGGTGAGTTGCTAACTTGCTATGTAGAAATCGAGGTGCCGGTCAGTAATAGAAATATAGAATCCGCGATGTAGAGATCTAGGTGTCACACGTTGTCTAAAATAATCCATGATTCACCCACCCAGGACGAGATCGATGGTACCAAGGAGGCTGCTGCGGAGGTGGGCGGCGGAATCAAGGGTCACTCCATCCATGGACGCCATGTTGCTCGCTACACCCTCGGTAACTGCCTCCCGTGCTTTTCATCTCCACGCACTCAAGGTGATGAGCCTCCTGCAGTTGCTGCTGCTGCTGCTGCTACCAACAGTGAAGACAAGCCTGGTACCAGTAATGATGATGGCGATGTTGATATTAAGTTGCCATTCAACAGAATAGCCATGTCCAAGAAAATCAAGTCCGTAATAGAGGAGATGAACTCCATATGCATACTTGTCTCTGACCTGCTCAAAGTCAAAACTGCAAACCAGAGTAGCATTGCATTAAGCACACATGTCACCACTGAAAGGCCTCCCACTGGCTCCATAGTTCCACAAGATAGAAAACTGTATGGAAGGAGTGACATTTTTGAGCAAACTATAAATGCACTCACCAGTGGCACTTACCATGATAAAACCCTCTCTGTCCTGCCTTTTGTTGGGCCTGGGGGCATCGGCAAGACGACCTTCACCCAACACTTGTATAATGATGAAGCGGTCAAGGGACACTTCCCTGTCAGAGTCTGGGTATGTGTCTCAACTAATTTTGATGTGATTAGGCTCACCCGGGAGATTCTTGGCTGCATACCTGTAACTAATGCTATCACTAATGCCAGCACAGTTGAACCAACAAATTTAGACCAACTTCAAAGAGCCATTTCAGAGAGACTGGACTCCAATAGGTTCTTAATTGTCTTGGATGATGTGTGGACATGCAAGAGTGAGCGTGATTGGAAAAACCTATTAGCCCCATTCACAACAGGGGGAACCAAGGGCAGCATGGTTCTTGTCACAACTCGATTGCCAGCTGTAGCACACATGGTCAAAACAACTGATCCAATAGAACTGCATGGTTTAGAGCCTGATGCCTTCTTTGCACTGTTTGAAGCATGTATATTTGGTCGTAACAAACCCAGGATTTATGATGATGACTTAGTAAATGTTGCAAGAGATATTGCAAAGAAACTGAAGGGTTCGCCACTTGCAGCAAATACAGTTGGTCGGTTGTTGAAGAAAAACATGTCTTGGGAATATTGGATGGGAATTCTTGAAAAGAATGAATGGCAAAGTGCAAAAAATGATGATGATATTTTGCCGTCTCTGCAAATCAGCTATAATTACCTTCCTTTTCATCTGCAGAAATACTTCTTTTATTGTGCCCTCTTCCCAGAAGATTACAGGTTTTATGATTTGAAAAAAATCACTAATTTCTGGATTGCAATGGGTATTGTAGACCCAAATTGCCAAAACGACAAGAATTACTTAGACGAACTAGTGGACAATGGTTTTCTCATAAAGGATAGTGATAGTGATGGTGATGAATACTACGTGATGCATGATTTATTGCATGAACTATCTCGGAATGTTTCATCACAAGAGTGTGTGAATATAAGTAGTTTAAGTTTTAGAGTCAGTGACATCCCACAATCTATTCGGCACTTATCAATCACTATAGAAGATAAATATGATGAAAGTTTTTGTCAAGAAATATGTAAACTGAAGAGTGTAATAGACATTGGAAATTTGCGTACTTTGATGGTTTTTCAATTATATGATTCAGAAAGAGGTTATATTCTGAGAGATGCATTTGAAGGAATAAAGAGTCTCCGGGTTCTATTTATAGCTAGCCTTCCAGAATATTTGCCAGAAAGTTTTTCCAATCTTATCCACCTCCAATACCTTGAACTCATAGTGCCTCTTGGTGAGAGAGATAATAAGCATTCACCTAGGACATTACCAAGATTTTACCACTTGAGATTCTTGGACCTCTTTGATTGGCACGATCATATAATTTTCTTTCCTAAAAGCATTAGCCGCCTCGTGAGCTTACGCCATATTTATTCTTCCAAAGAATTCCATTCCCGTATCCCTGAGATCGGAAAGATGAAGTGGTTACAGGAGCTAAGAGAATTTCGTGTTAAGAAGGAAAGTGTTGGATTTGAACTGAGCCAGCTGGGGGAATTGACAGAGCTTGTTGGGCAGCTTGCTATATATAATCTTGAAACCGTGGCATCCAAAGGAGAAGCTAATGATGCTAAACTGAAGGATAAAAGAAATCTGAAAGAATTGAAATTAATTTGGGGTGCAGGGCAACAGATTACAGATGGTGATGTTCTCGAGGGTCTTCAACCACCCCCAAATCTTAGAGAGCTTGGCATTACAAATTATGGTTTTGCCGTTGGTCCTAGCTGGTTGTGCAGTGACATTAGCATAAAAAGGCTGGAGTCTCTACATCTGAATGGTATATCTTGGGACACTCTTCCACCTTTTGAGCAGTTACCACAGCTCACCAACCTCAAACTGGAGAATATTGCTGGGATGCATGTGTTTGGACCAGGATTTGGTGGTCTTACAGAGAGAAGTTTTATGTACCTGAAAACAGTTAAGATTGAGAATATGCCAGAACTTGGGGAATGGGTCGGGGGGGACAATAGCCCTTTGTTTTCAAGGCTTGAAAGCATTGTATGCCACTATTGCCCCCGTCTGTCCTCGTTTTCCTTCTTGGAATGTTGTACCAACCTTTGTCGACTTGATATTATTAATTGCCCAAAGTTGTCTCAGATACCCCCTCTGCCTCAAACTTCTACACTGACAGAGTTATGTGTGGGATATGGGTTTCAGGCAAGTTTGTCGTATGATGGAAAGTATTTGTCTGCTGATGGGTATAAGGGTGCTTTGGCCTTCCAAAATATGGATAGAGTGGAGGTCATAAGAATTTTTAGTTCACCACATGTCTCATTGTCAGTGTCAGACCTCCAAAGGATGAAATCCCTGAGAGAACTAGTTGCCATAGGCTGCGCCAGCATATTCTCCGCAGAATGGTTCGATGCAGTCGTCCTAAAGGAATTGGCAGCTCATGATAAATCTTTGGACGAAGAAAATATCTCTGTAGCAGCAGGTCTGATCCCGGAGGTGGCAATTAGCAAATCATCGCATCCAGGTTCATTCCGACTGGAATACATGGAGGTGACTAGCATCTCGGCAGTGCTTATTGCTCCTATTTGCAGACGCCTGGCCGCTACCCTTCACACATTAAGGTTCTATTATGATGAGGTGACTGAAACCGTCACGGAAGAGCAAGAAGAAGCGCTTCATCTTCTCACCTGCCTCCAAAGTCTATATTTCACATGCTGCAAACTGCGATCTCTCCCTCGGCTATATGGCCTTTCTTCTCTCAGGAAACTTTCGATCGCAGACTGTGATGGAATCCAATCACTGCCGCCCAAGGAGGACTTCCCCACTTCACTGCTAATACTAGACGTAAGTGATTGCTGCAGCCGTGAAATAAAAGAGGAAGCCGAGAAATTAAAAGAAGCAAACCCTTGTTTATCTGTTGAGGTAAGTAACACTCACTTTTTGAAACCTAGCTAGCGTATGAAATCTGAAGATTTACTGGTGTCATTGCAGAAGTAGGCAATCTAAGCCGTACCATATCCAAGTAACCGCTTGAGGGTGCCACATATATTTCAAGTCGATATCTACAGGTGAGGGCATGCAAAATCAACTTCCGCTCCTCAATTCATCATCTCATTCACAGTGTATGAAGCCACTTTCCTTTTTGTTTTTTGTTTGTTAAAGGAGGGAGTGCCCTGGGTTGCTTGGTTTAATTTGCATGGCACATATAGTCCATTTCCATGCTTCTATGTTTGCACATGTAACTTTACACGGCTTCATTTTTCGTAGTCACAACTGTTAATTTCATATACAGTATTGTTAGACTTTGTTCTCCCATATTAGACAGCTGCATGATTTCACTTTTGCAGACCTCGTCGAGAATACTAAGGCTACATATTTAGCCATCTTATTTTCAGAACTAGAAGACAGGGACAGGCAGCAAGCTCGAATACTGGAACTTGTGACAACCAGAGTTAACCATGCTGGTGAGTCGATTTCTCCCCCTCCCAGCCACCCACCACTCTATTACATGGTGCTTTGGATGGGTTGCTGATGGGGATTCGGTTGCACATGTAACTATTACACGGCTTCTTTTTTTCGTAGTCACAACTGTTAATTTCATTTGCAGCATTATTAGCTTTTCTTCTCCCTAATATTAGATAGCACCTATTTTTGAAACGGCACATGCCAGTTTGCATGTAGCAACTGCATGATTTCACCTTTGTAAATCTCGTCAAGTAAAAAGTTTGCTGTCAGGAATACTAAGACTATATTTTCGGCCATCTTATTTTCAGAACTATAAGACAGGGGGGCAGATCAAATACGGGACAGCAGGTGCAACTTACTCTGTTCTGTGCAAATTGTTCCTCATCTTGGATAACCGTATGACATCCAGAAGTAGCCAAGCCGGTGAGTCGAATGCTCCCCCCACCCAGTCATTCACTACTCTGTTACATGGTGCTTTAGATGGGTTGCTGATGTGGATTTGGTTGTAGCTTGCAGCTAAACCTGGGAATAGTTTGGATCAAAACTTAGTTTTTGGTTTGGTTTTTGATTTGGTCTCACTAGTTTGGTCTCTACTGGATTTAGATAGACAAACAATTTGGATCGGTTTGGGTTGTGGCTAATAACGGATTGGATAGGTTTGGGTTGGGTGCATACTTATGGGTTGAAAACTGCTGCAAACTATGGTTTGAGACCGGATTGATGGATTAGTCTAAAGCGAAGGTCCAAATGCCACCGCCTTCCCAGCACGCTCAGTCGCTTCTTGTCAATCTATCCATCGTCCAGCCCAAGCTTCGTCCACGTGCGTACTCGCGCCATGGACGCCTCTGACTTGGGAGAAGATGATCTTGACTTGGACCTGCTGCACCTCCATGACCACACCGACGACAAGGGTAACATCCATGACCACGCCGACGCCGGCGTAGAACCTAGGATGTTGGGAATAAGCCGTGACCGGCACGGTGGTGACCGGCGTGCGTGTGTGCCAGGAGCGGTCTGTGCAGGCCACATGCGCGTGTGTGCGTTTGTCCGCGTGTGTGTGCGCCAGGAGCGATCCGTGCAGGGCACGGGCGCGTGTGTGTGCATGCGTCGGGAGCGTGGCATGGGCGTCGGGCGCGCGAGCCGGCTGCGTCGAGTGCGTGCATGCGCGTCGGGCGCGCGAGCCGTGTAGCGTGGGACGTGGCGAGTGTGCGAGTGGGGTGCGTGAGAGCGCGGCGTGGCACATGAGTGCACGCGCGTCTCCTGTGTATTGTACCAAGCGGATCGAGTTCGTGCTCGAGGAGAAAAACAGAAAAACCGTCGATGCGGTAAGGTGTATGTTCGTGACCAAATTCTCTGTGTCCATTCTCCCACTGTGTCTTGTTGTCTGCGGTGATGACCGGTGCGCCGGGAGTCCGTTTTAGCTAACACAGGAGACGCCGGCGACCAACACACCCTGAGCAAACGATCATGACCTGAACGGCAACTGTCTTCTTCAAGTTTGTTTGTATCCAAGTTCCAACACCCGAGTAGCACATACTCACTAGTCAGTTACACGGCTGTTGTGCTTTCTCCATGGTTTGAGTTTGTGGGTTTAATCCAAAACTTGGAAACAGTTTGAGCTGGATTGGGTGGGAAATACGTATAGTTTGGTTTGGCGTGAATTCTAGCTACAAGTTTTTGGTTTGGATTGGTTTGGACGCTGGAGCTATATACAGTCTGGACTGGTTTTGGCCTGGATGTCAAACTATTCACAGGTTTACTTGCAGCAAATGGTGGCCTTGACTGGGCTGCGCATGCCATCAGACAGGAGACTGGATGCCGTCATACAGAGGTCATGCGGTTACTCGTGGGTAATCACCCTGGGATAGCTGATACTCGTAGAGCCATCGATTTGTTCAAGGCAAGATTATATTCTGAATTTTGGGGCAAGTATACTGCATATGCCTAGTTAACGCACGTATTTGCTGACATTGTTCATGGTTTGGATCTCCTTTTAGATGCAAGATCCAAGCTGTAAGGTCATGGTTGACAACCGCTATGGTGAATTCGTTGAGACGTCGGAGCCACTTCCAAGGGTCATGTCAGCCAGGGGCTATTGAAGTTCATGTCAGCCAGGGGCTATTAGAATTCAACCACTTCCAAGGGTCCCATGTGTTAGAGTTGTGTCGAATATTATTGTACAAGTTAGGTTATAGTTGGACTTGGAGTCATATGGTGTGTAGACATGATATGGAGTCGTGTCCAAGTAGGACACTTGTATCCTAGGCCTCTCATATATAGCGGGGGTAGACACATGATGTAACCTATGCCAACATAATAGCACAGGCACGCAGGGGAACCGGCGGTGTGTGCCGGTGCCCGAGCGGCGGGGTGCAGTATTGTAGCGGTATCACGAGGAGGAGCGCCCGTAGTCAAGCCCCGGGGATGTAGCCATATCGGTGAACCTCGTTAACAAATCTCGATGTCTTGTTCGTGTGATTGCTTGGTCCTCGGTAGATGGACGGAATGCCTCGGATTAATTCTAACACCATGCCATGATGATGTGCAGGTTGCCTTAGCTTTAACATTAAACCGTCCCACTATGTTTGCTATGTTTTATTATCTGCATAGTTTCCTTTTTTGCTTTGATGGAAGAGTGATTAGTTTGCTCGCTGAATCAGGTCATCTTTGCTGACAGGACGGACATTCATGGATGGAAGCACAAGCGAGCTATCATGTGATGGGCCCTTAAGAGATCCATATGCTGTCTTCTGTCGGGTCAGTTGCCTGTACTAAAATGCAGAACTGACTCTGATGGGCCCCATGTTTGAGGTTGAGACTTGAGAGCCTGGGCCATCAAGTAGCGTTCTCCCATGCATTGATGGCTCTCCTCCCTTGAAACGTGTCGATGCAGGGAGGGCACACCTGGGCACAGTGGGCTCTGCTCCTGGGTGAAGTTCTGAAGGTCATATGGCTGTTTGTTAGTACTAGAAGACTTCCCAATTCTGGAATGTGTAGGATCTTCGTTATTGATTAGTGTGTGTTGATTCATGGGAATCATTAGGTAATCTTCATAATTTGCTTGTTACTGATGCTGTCAGATCTGACACGGTGCTAGCTAGCTAACTAACTGACACAAGGAATTCCTTAATGCAGGAACCATCATGCTCACAAAATCTTTTGATTGAATCGATGAGTGATTTAAAGCAGCAGAGATATTTCAAGGTTGTGAATAGTCCAGCAGGCTTGCACTGATTGATTAGCAGAGTAACTTCAAGCCAGAGTATCACCCATACTTCTTTTTTGCGGGAAGAGCATCATCCATACTGGATAGCTTCTGCCATCGACTTGCCAGTTCATTAGGATACTAGTGTGAACTGCACAAATTAGTTAGAAATGCTTTGGTTGTATGAGTTTGCCAATTCAAGAAGAAATAGATGACTGTCACAGCACTTCATTTTGGGGGATTCTCTTGAGTACAATGAATCCACATTGCCAAAGTGTTAGCGTAATTCTTTTTTATATTTTTACATTACAAATTTTGCCACTTAAAAATAGTTCAGATCAGTTTGTAGTTTGCTCATAAAGACTTTTTGAAATTTTTGTTATCTTTTATGAAGATTATAGTTCCCTGATGTAACATCCATGAAGCCAGTCTTCTTGAAACGAGTCAATTTCTGGCCATGAATTACTTGATTTCCCTGGTCAAAGATAAGCATCTTTGCCTATCTTTTGTCACTATGGTTAGTTTCACAGCTTGTCACTATGTACCCATCTGTGCATATACAAGTATAAAATGCAGAGTGTAAACATGGTGCCGCGTGTATGACAACTGTGGCTCTGGTCAATGAGCAAACTTATGATTAACGATATCTTCATCATGAGATCAGATGCAAACGCAAGCAACATAGTTACTGCTAAGCAAAAGTCAAAGAGAGAGAGACAAACCTCACACCCCTAGGAGCATGTGCCTCACCTTGAGGCAAGAGAAGCATCCTGCATTCCTAAGCAAGTAAGCAGCTTTTCCTTTCCAGAATCCAAGCAACCGAAAAGAAGGCCAAGTTTCTTCACACTGCGGCCACAGATGCCGTCCCGGTCCGCAATAAACAGAGCCAAGGCTGGAGAGCCTGGAAGGATGCTAGTGAGAGGGTGCACTGCACACAAAATGGAGATGGATGGAGGTAGTAAGTACAGATCAAGAGGCCACACAATGGGCAGCAACAACTACAAAAGGCTCCCCTACCTGCTGCTCCTGCTGCTGGCTGTCGGTGCCGCCACGCTGAGCGTCAGCGTGCTGCACAAGATGAGGGAACGGCGCCTTCTCTCCGTCCTCCTCCAGGAACGCGAGCAGCAGCTCATGTCCCTCCAGGTCCGCCTCGAGGTATGGATACGGTTTCTGGCATGCCATGCATCAGAACTGGTTTGCCACTTCTCTGTGCTTGCATCTCTTTTGCACTGCTACCAGTAGATTGTGATTGCCCCACTTTGGTGATTTATCACCTGAACTCTGGAGTGCTCTAAGCATATAACCAGTGCCCTGAGTTTAGTCCTCTTATTCATTAAATGCGGCCCTAGGACACACATACCTGCCACATCGAGACATAAATCCTCAGCCTCAGGTGCCAATATTCACAGTTCCAAATAATTAATATCCCTGGGCAGGCTATGAATATATTCTCATTTTCAGTGGATGAAAGAGTCTTACATGAGCAATCATGCAGGCTGTAGCTAAAAGATTCTAACCTCGATTTTCAATCAACATCATGGTCACAGATTACAAGTACCAAAAGTAATTCCGGCTTCCCTATAGGGCATAGACTTGTGCAGATACTCACAGCGCTAATTAACAGAAGTACGGATAGAACACAACTGCACTAATGCACTCACAAAAGATCTATAATCCAACAGCAAGCATAATGTAAAATATGGAATCATGCATAGCAACCAATCTCGTAAAAGACTTCCATTCCATACTAACAGCTTTTGTGCAGAGAGAATCATAAATGTTACATCAGCATATAATATTCAACTGAATATCTTTTTGATTTACAAGGATGGCTATGACAATGATATTCATTTGTGGATTATAAACACTGCGACAGTTGTAGCACTAGCACAGAAGAGCTCAAACTATCTACCTATTCCATTAGCATGCTAATAGTTTTTCGGTTCTGTTCATAAACATGATTTTCGAAGTCAACAATATCTCATTAACCAAATATTTCCTTTTCATTTGGCCAGAATGAGAAGGAAATTAGTAAAGAGATGAGGAGAAAAGTGGATGAACTGGAAGCTAAAACGTCTATCCTGAGTATTGAGAGGACAGAACTGAAGAACAAGGTCATGAATTCAGAAACAACCACCACCTATCTTACCAACACCCAGAAAGAACTGGAGGCAGCTCTTGTGGAGAAAGAGAGCCATATCAACCAAATGAAAGAGATTGTAGCTGCTTCAGGGCCTGACCAGATGTCTGCTATAAAAGAACTCCTGCAACAAAAGGAAGCTGAGCTTGAAGAGATCAAGACCAAGTTCAGCGGCAATGCTGTGTTAGCCACAAACAATGAAAATGCAACTTCTGACACTGTGGCACCTGAGAATTCTGCAAGCTCTGATGATACCATACCTGCTCCAACAACCATACCTGCTCCAACAGAAGATCATTCCTATAACAGCACTGCATCAGAGAGCAACCACCAAGACGAGAGAATTTTAGAGAGCACAAACAACAAAGATGTAAATCCTGATGCTGTGATACCTGAGGAAAAAATAAATTCCAGTGATTCCATGCCTGCTACAGGAGAAGAACTGCATTCCGACGACACCACTGCATCAGAGAGCAACCACTCAGATGAGAGAACTGTAGTGGGCACAAACAACGAAGATGCTGTAACTCCTGACACTGTCATAGCTGAGGAAAAAGCAAACTCCAGTGGTTCCGCACCTGATCAAGCAGAAGAACTGCAATCCTACAACACCACCGCATCCGAGAGCAACCACCAAGAAGATGGTTCATCAGAAGGTCAGTTTGTAAAGTTCACAACTAACTTCGAAGATGATGCCTTACAAGAGAAAACAGACGATGCCAATCAAAGTTCTGACGACCCCCCTCTAAAGGGAACGCATTCAGAGGAATCTGAACTTCGTCAATCGGCAGACAGTCAAGAAATCAGCAAAGAAGAAGTAGATGGGAGAAAACAATTGGAGGACACCCAAGGCGAGGTCAGCTACCACAGCAGAGAGAGTAAGCTGCTTGAGAAGGAAGACGGCAAAGAAGTTGCTAGAGAACCAGAGAAGGAAATCAACCCTGATGGTGAGATGAAGATCTCAAAAGACAGTCAAGAAATCAGCAAAGAAGAACTCGATGGGAAAAAGCAATTGGAGGACCCCCAAGGCGAGGTCAGCTACCACAGCAAAGAGAGTAAGCTGCTTGAGAAGGAAGATGGCAATGAAGTTGCTAGAGAAGCAGAGAAGGAAATCAGCCCTGATGGTGAGATGAAGATCTCAAAAGACAGTCAAGAAATCAGCAAAGAAGAACTAGATGGGAAAAAACAATTGGAGGACCACCAAGGCGACCACAGCACAGAGAGTAAGCTGCTTGAGCAGGAAGATGGAAAAGAAGTTGCTAGCGAACCAGAGAAGAAAATCAACCCTGATGGCGAGATGAAGATCTCAAAAGACAGCTTGACTGAAGCCAACCAAGAGATAATCCAAGTCGTGGAACCTGTTGCCAGCCCTGCAGATGCAAACCTCAGCTTGTCCACAAATAACAGGGAATCAAAAGAGACAAGCAAGAGGCGTAGGAAGAGGAAGTCCAGATCTAAAAGGAGGAAGAGGACCGATGTTGCTGCCAGCAATGTTGATGGAGAAGTCATCAAAGGGAGGTAGATGCCACAGCGAATCCGCAAGGAACTGTTTGGATTTGAAGAATCACTGCAATACAATGATGGAAGGTACAAAAAGGAAAATTTGCAAAAGCATATCACAAGAGGCAAAACCTAGATCACTGGCATATGCTGAATAGCTCTGAAGAGAACAATGGAAAATAATATAGCTGCACAGCTTGTATAATTAGTTATCAATTTGTAACTGATGACAGGATAAATAATTATTTATTTCCTGAATACTGAAAATTGATTCTTCGGCGAACCTAGTAGTAAGCCATTTTGCACTTTACTTCCTGTGAACACCTAGCTGCATGGTAGCTTTCACTAGAAAGTTCTTTCAATGATAAATTTCTCTCCGAGGTTACAACATAAGAATATTATGTACAATTATTACTACAAGAACATGTAGTAAAGCTGCTGCCTTGTGACCATGAGGTCATGGGTTCAAGTCCTGGAAACAGCCTCTTACAGAAATGTAGGGAAAGGCTGCGTACTATAGACCCAAAGTGGTCGGACCCTTCCCTGGACCCTGCGCAAGCGGGAGCTACATGCACCAGGTTGCCCTTTTATTACTACAAGAACATGTGCCGAAGACATGTTTGCCAAGCATACAAGTACGGCAGATATATGAAACAAATTACCAGCAAACAATTTTCTCACAGCAGGCACAAATCTGCACCCTCTGAATAAGCTTTATTGGCCTCACGCAGAAAAGGTACAAACAAAATTGAGCAACTATGAATAGATAGAAATTAACTTCTGAATCAGTGAATCTGGAAATGATATAATATAATTCTTCTTCTGAAGATGTATAAATAACCAGACAAAAAAAGGTTGACCTGTCTGAATATCCAATAAATATGTATCTCAAAACTTGTTGTAGCACCTCAATAATTTAAATCAATTCTACAATTATGCCCTTCCTCCAGTCTCACCAAAAAATCAAAATGGAAAAAATTACATTGGTGGTTGCAAGTTATGAAGCCATGTACTAGATGCTGTTCAAGTAGCAGCCTACTGAATGCCAATCTTAGCTCTTCTGCTATTACCTGTATGGCCGGTCATATCTGTAGTCGATGTACCTTATCAACTACACATGCCAGCATAAACAACTGTCCATGTTTAATCTGAGGGTGTAACTTGTGAACGAAGCCTATCAAATTCACAAGAATGTTCGTGTATGCCTTTTCAAGCTATGCATTTGAAGCATGTCCATCAGAAGGTCACAAAAAGTTCTAATATTGATACACATTAATCAGCGCATGAAGCACCGTTGAAGCAGAGGGTGTGAATAATCCACATAGTTGTCCCAGAAGCCCTTGTACTTCTCCATCCCAATTTTCAGCCATGGCTTCAAATTTCCATTGTAATGCAATACTGCACCTTCCTTAATAGTATCAGGATCAACAGTTGTGTAGCCCAGCCCCAAGACATGCCATTTTGGGTCCAGTGCTTCAACCAAGCCATAGAAAGCAAGAAGCCCAGGTGGTAAAGATCCAAGCTTCCACAGGGTATGATCAGCATTGCGCTCCTGCCAATAATGATATATACCTGTGACATTCTTGTTCCTCCATTCAACAAGATCAAGCACATTCATACCAAACGCCCAGCCACAAGCATCGGGATCAAAATGAGCACGAATCAGAGGATGAGAATGATTGAGATACTTATGAAATCTGTGGAACGTCTCCATGCAAGTCTCAACTGCCCCCATAACGTTACCATTGAGGTTGATTGTAAACAAATCTGACAGGTCCTTCTGAACAACAATGTCATCATCAAGAAATACCACCTTGTGCAGTTCTGGGTAAATCTCTGGGATGTAAAACCTCAGGTGGTTGAGCATTGATAAGTACTTGGGATTTCTGAACTTGATTGGTGTTCCACGATTACCACTTCCAGAGAAGTAGAAATTCTGTGTAGCAGCATCCTGGAGCTGTTTAAGAACAGGAACATACGAAGCATTTAGCCAGGTGAAGTCCTCCACCTTTTGTATCTCCACAATGGCCCCTCTGTAATCATTCAAGGCAAACCACGCCCTCATTGGATCATAGTTCACCTCGTCGGTCACCAAATGGAAAACAATCTTTTCAGGGTGCTTTGAATTCAGAGTTGTAGAATTGACCACAACAGAGACCGCGATGATGTTGTCCGAGAAAACACAATAGTGATAGAGGCTGTTATCCCTCAGATTGCTCTGCACTGCTGGGCTCCTATCCAAGAACTTCCTCTGAAGCTCGGCACTCTTGAACCATTCCATGGTTAACCGGACACCAAGGCAATAAAGCCCCTTTGGGAGCTCCTCAGCAGCAATCTGGCCATACTTTGTGCTCTTGTCTGCCTCGGCCTTCAACTTCTCCTCCAGGGACAGAATCTGGCCCTTCAGCTTCAAGATGGTGACCGCGCTGTCGTACCGGAACTGCTGAGCCTGGTAGAACAGCACGGCCATGTCCCTGATCGCCTTCTCCGCATCCTCCTTGACCACCAAGCCACCATGGGCCGCAGCACGGGCGAGGATGCTCTGCTCCCGCCGCACCAGCGCACCAAGCTCCACCACGAACTGCAGGTTGCTGGCTTCTTTCGCGACCGTGATGTAGGTCTTTGCGAGAGAAATCTGGTCCATGAGCTGGCGGGAAAGCGAGTGAGCGCTCATCATTTCGTCCGTCATGTTGTGCGTGTCCGTGATAACCTCGAGGTAAGATCTCTGCACATCAAAAGTTCAGGACATTCAGACGCTAGTCCAGCATTCATGATTGATGTTCTCTAAACAAACAGTTAGCGTGTAGAGTACTAGTCAAGTAGTACCACTACAGAACTAGCAAATTCAGCAGTTATAATTACTAACACTTGTACTAGAATCTGATGGTTCCGAGCCAGACTAGGCAATATGATTTACGAAATGCGGAACGGGAGATGCGGTGCGGCTTAATCGGTTGTACTATAATTATTACCTGGCGGAGGAGATGGGAGGAGACGGCATCGGCGTCGGCGTCGGCGGATCCGGAGGAGGAGGCGTCGGTGGAGGGCGGGGAGGAGGGGTCGGGGGAGCCGGCGAGGCCGAGGAGGAGGAGGGCGCAGGCGAGGGCGAGGAGGAGCGAGAGCAGGAGGCGGGCCCAGAGCGGGCGCTGCTGCCAGCGGCGCCGGAAGGACGGGCGGCGCTGGTCGAGGAACGGGCGCCGCCTCGTCGCCGGGTCGAGGAGGCCCGCCGGCCGCACCATCGCCGCGCCGGCCCCGTCGGCGCCCGACGGGATCTCGCGAAGATGGGTTTCCTTCTCCCCCACGCGGCCCTCAGATCTCGCTCGCACGGCGCGGCAGGGAGGAAGGCAGCTTCGTGTGTGCCCCTTTGCTTGACTGCGGCCGCGACTGCGACTGGTTTGATTCCTTCCCCACCCCTTGCCGATCTGTTGGCAGCGGCGGCAGCTGGGAATGGGATCCACGCGGTAAGTTTTGAGTTCACGCTGGCGGAGCACCTTTTCCCGGTTCACCGCGCCGCTCTGTCGACGTAGTAACAACTGCCCCGCGCCGTGGATGGAAGCAAGGTCGGCGAGAGCAATCAGGTGATGTAGAATTTACATCATCTACTACCACTATAAAAGAAAAAGAGGAACAGATCTAAACAATCACATCCATGCATCATCAACATTTAATGGCTCTTAATCATTCGGTGTTTAACGCTACCAACCACGCATTACGCCATTAGAATCCATCGATCGCTAATCTGCCCCATCGATAAAAAAACTGCTGCCCGCACACGACCGCACGACCTCTCTGGCTCTCTCGCCCCTCCTCTTCCTCCCTCGCCGTTACTCCTGCAGCCTCGCGCCGCCTTAGCCGCAGGAGCCGCCCCACCGCGCCCGGAGCCCAGGGAGCCGCCACCCGTCGCGCGCCGGGGGAGCCCCACCGCAGGTCGCCGCCCTTCGCCGCGGGAGAGCCGAAGCCGCCGTCCGTCGCGCGCCGGGGGAGCCCCGTCGCAGGTCGCCGCCCTTCGCCGCGGGAGAGCCGGAGCCACCGCCCTTCGCTGCGGGAGTCGCCGGCAAATCGCAGCCCGTCACGCGCCAGGGGAGACCCGCCCCAGGTCGCCGCCCTTTCCCACGGGAGAGCCGCCGCCCGTCGTGCGCCTGCCTCTCCTCCTCTGCCGCCGCAGGTACGCCGATGCCTCCTGACAAGCCAGTAAGTTCCCTCCTCCGCTCTCCTGCTGATGCGCGGTTACGTCGCCCCAGTCCATGCCGATGCCCCGATGTTCAGGTGAGCAGAGACGCCATGCCGAATTCACCATTGCGGCCGGCCGACCTTGTTTGTTGTAGCTGTTGCCTCAACCGGTGCGTCCCCGCCGTCTGGCGATGGCGCGACCGCGGTGGACGCGGTTATGCGTGGCTCACAGAGATCCAAGGGCAAGACCAGTTTCCGCCCATGAAAGGTAAACACCGATTGAGACCACCGTCTAGAGGGTAAGCGGGCGTATCCGTCTATTATTTAGCTTGTGATTTGTGACGTATGGGTGGCGTTGGATAATGTTGTTCTTATTGCAAGTAATCTTTGATTTCTGTTTTTTTTTTGCTCTTCCCAGCCTAGACATGGGAACGCCGCAGCTCCTTCCTCAATGCTACTTTTTGTAAATCTGATCTCTGCAACTCGTGAGGATTCAAATCACGGAAGGAACTAGGAGTATTACTTGTTTTATTATAGGTGTCTTCTAATCTAAGAACTACTGAGCAAGATAATTCAGATGGATCTAATTAAGAATCTTGTATCAACGGTGGTGATCAGGGCTGTTTTTACATATGTTTATAGACAACTTGCGCCAAAGCTATATGTATTGGACGACCTGCGCCAAAGCTGTCCATACAGGGCAGATGGTCCTCAAAGCATGGTGTCGATTTCGTAAGTTGTTAAGTTGATTTGTTAAGTCTATACAGTGCGGACGACCTACTCTATCTATCTATTTAATGGGTAAGTTGATTTCGTTTTGTTGTCTCACCGGCTTAGAGTGTTGTGCATGCG